GCTCCTCTGATGCTGCTTGGCCTGCTGTGTTCAACCAGCTCTACACCTTGTTATCTCAGATTCTCCAGCATCGGCAGTTCCTACTATCTCTGAAACAACTTATTTATTGATACTTATTTTTCAAATACAAGAGCAGGCCAGAAGCTGGGAATACTGCGGCGGGTAACTCATCTCCTGACTCCTGAAAGCCTGTCCACCATCTACAAGGCACAAGTCAGGAGTGTGATGGAATACTCCCCACTTGCCTGGATGAGTGCAGCCCCAACAACACTCAAGAAGCTTGACCAAGCAGCCCACTTGATTGGCACTACATCCACAAACATTCACTCCCTCCACCACTGATGCTCAGTAGCAGCAGTATGTACTACCTACAAGATGCACTTCAGAAATTCACCAAAGATCCTCAGACAGCACCTTCCAAACCCACGACCACTTCCATCTAGAAGGACAAGGACAGCAGATATATGGGAACACCACCACCTCCAAGTTCCCCTCCGAGTCACTCACCATCCTGACTTGGAAATATATCGCCGTTCCTTCACTGTCGCTGGATCAAAATCCTGAAATTCCCTCCCTAATGGCATTGTGGGTCAACCCACAGCAGGAGGAATGCACCACCACCTTCTCAAGGGCAACTAGGGATGGGCAAGAAATGCTGGCCAGCCAGCGACGTCCACATCCCACAAAAATGAATAGAAAAACAAAATCCACCATAACCAGATAGCTATAGAACCTGATATAACAAGGTGTAGAGCTGGATGAACACAGCAGGCCAAGCAGCATCAGAGGAGCAGGAAAGCTGACGTTTTGGGCCTAGACCCTTCTTCAGAAATGGGGGAGGGGAAGGGGGTTCTGAAATAAATAGGGAGAGAGGGGGAGGCGGTTAGAAGATGGATAAAGGAGAAGATAGGTGGAGAGGATTACAGCTTTAGTCCAAACATAGAATGAAAAGTTAAACTCAAGAGGTGAGGTGAGGTGAGGTGGCATCAAGGAGCCCTAGCAAAACTGGGGTCAGTAGGGATCAGGAAGCCAATCTTCCCTCTGAACTTCAGGTCTCTGCTGCTCATAGACCTTGGCATGGGCCTCACAAAGTCCCTCACCAATACATACCCTGTTCTGCCTGAGAACGATATCAGCATTCCCACACTGTCACTGCGTAGTGAGTTTAGTCTGAGGGTCACCGTGCAACAGCCAGGGATTAAGATGATAAGGCTGGACTTTCAAGGTAACAGGCTCAGGTTAACATGCTTAAATGGTGTTTATTACAATCAATGTTGCACTCACATTAATGTTAACCCATTATTTAATCCTAAGTACAACATAAGCACTAACATAAGAAAATACTTTTATCATATAACCGTTGTTAATTGTAAAATCATCTGGTTCACTATTGTCCTTTAAGGAGTAAAGTCTGCCATGCTTACTTAATCTGCCTTATAACTGCCCTTTGAAGTGGCCTAGCAGGGCATTCAGTTCAAGGGCATTTAGGACGGGAAATAAAAGCCCCAGTCAATGACACCCATGTGTCACCTGTGACTCCAATGAATGAATAAAAATATTTATCTCTTCTTTGTAATTATCATTCTCCTTTCTTCCCTTTTTTCACTTCTCTTTTTACACATAAACTGGACATTGCAGTCTGAATGGTGATTGATTTTAAATTTTAATTGAGTTATTCTTTCACTGCTACATTTTCACTTCCTTCACAATTTTTAAATTGAGTCCCCTAACACTCAAAACCTTATGACATATGACCAAATTTTTACCGCTTTACCATGCTTCAACACACATGGTATGCTCACCAGAAAATGTCAGACCAGCACACTAATACTAAAATTAACATCAAAAACAGAAGTTGCTGGAATAGCTCAGCAGCTCTGGCATCATGTATGAAGAAAAAAAATCAGAGTTAACGTTTAGGGTCCAGTGACCCTTCCTCAGAACGCAAATGCTAAAATTAGCATTTTGAATTTTATCTGCAAGTATAGTATTAATCTGAAGCAAGAACGTGCAGTAAGAATTTAATTATATAATATTCGACATATTAAAAACTTCCTGAATGCTAAAAAGGGAGATGGTAAGGATACAAAGATACGTTTAGAGGAGGTGTACATTGTAATAGCAGACAATCAACCAACAGTTCCTGTCTGAAAAGTAGGGGCAGAGATGTGACATGAGATTGTTGAACTCTATGTTGGGCCTGGAAAGCAGTAAATTGCCAGTTTGAAAGATGAGTCATTGCCCATTGAGCTTACACAGAGATTGATTGAAACTGTGTGGGAGAACAGAGGGCTCAGAGTGGAAGTGCAATGGAGAATTGAAATGGAAACTCAATTATGCTTGTGGAGGAAACAAAGGTGCTCCACATAACAATCACCCAAATTTGTGTTTGCTTTCCTCAATGTAGAGGAGGCTGTATTATGAGCAGTAGGCACAGAATATTAAATTGCAAAAAGTACAAGTAAATTACTGTTTGATTCAACTGTGTCTGGGGTCCTGGATTGTGGGAAGTGGGGAAGCAAAATTACAATTTGTATTTTCTGAGCTTACAAGGGAAAGTGCTTTGGTAAAGGAGATGGAAGTTGGGGATTGCTGAGGAGTGGAGAATGATCTATTGAATATAGAAGATGGTGAAGTGGAAGATGAGGACAAGGGGAATGCTGTTATTCTTCTGGGAGGGAGAAGTAGAGGTTAGAACAGTGGTGTGGGAAATAGAAGACATATCAGAAGCATTGTTTTCACTGTCCCCTCAGACTTTCCCCTCTCTGACCTTGAACAATCAATCTACAGCATCCTTTCTTATGTAACCAGCATGTGAATATTGAGATCAGCACAGTGAGAGTTTTTTGTCTGTCTCCACTTCCTTGGTCAGCTGCCCCATTCCTGCCTGCACAGCACCTGCCTTCAGAATTCCTGCTATACGTCACCCCTCCCTCTGGCTTCTTATCCTTGCTAGATCTTTTCCATCTGAGATTAATGACTCCTCTTCAGTCTGAAGTGGAGCCTTTGCAACTCATCTATTCACATGTTTAACCGGCTGCAGTCCTATTCCTGATGATGGTATAAGATTCAAGCAATCACTAATAAAGTTTCACATCTGTGAATCTCAAAATTAAGGAATGAAATTTTGTGTAAGATTCACCATTACTTCATGAGTTATGTTTGACAACTTTTTAAAATGAAAATCTGAAGGATAGTTCGACTTTTGCCATCATTAAAAAATTAAAACACAGACTAGAAAGCTTTCAAACATTATGTTTCACCTATTGCAGTTATTTTTGGAGTAAAGCCAAAGTAGTAAGGGCAGACTTTCTTAAGATACTTTCACACCAACTTCATCAACTCAGTTTTGGTAATCTTACATTGGACTAATTTGTAATCTAGTGGTAGTGTCCCTACTCCTGAGCCAGGATGCCTGGGTTCCAGTCCCACCTGCTCTAGATATGCGTTGTAATGTCTCTGAGCAGGCTGAAATAGCAAATATCTGCATTGCACTAACTATAAAATTGGCCTGAAGGTAAACTTGCAACCACTACCCATAGAAATAAACTGTGTTGTAAAACAGTTTATTGCCTAAACCAGAAAACAAGGAGGTGGTTTGCGGATTGTTTCATGTCATTGATAATATTGAGTCATCTCACTCTTAGTTGTGAGCTCCTCTGAAACTGGAGCGCCTTTGGAGTAATTCAGCATGAAAAGCAACTGGACTATTTTTGCTGGGTTAAAGAATACTACAAATTAGAGAGGAGTTTGTGGTCAGGAGTGGATTGCATGTCCCTAATGGGAATCACCTGATTTCCCATCATAAGATCATAAGGTGTAGGAGCAGAAGTGGGCCATTCAGCCCGTAGAGTCTCCTGTGCCATTCAGTCAGATCATGGCTGATCTATTTATCTGAATGTGTGAAAAATACCAGCATGGGTCTGTTATGGACATGCAATTCTCTCTGGTTTGGTTTGGTTTGGTTTCACTTTGAATACTGCTTGGATTTCTCATTGGAAAAATATGTGGCTCTTCTGGAAATTTCCCCTCTACATTTAAGTGACTTAGATTAAACCCTGGTATGCTTCTTCAAAACTCCTGTCTTTACATAATCGTACATTCCGCACTCTAGGTACGCATTTCCATCTCTCTTTTCTGACTTTTGCACAAGACTACCAAAGTCACTGTTACAACATATTGCAATCGCATTACCATCATACTATTAACCCAATACTGTACACTTCCTGTCCAGTTTTGCTTTCAGCATTTTTGGCAATCCTTTGTACCATACACAATAATAGAAAACAGGTATTATAATGTCCATATTATATTGAGCACATCACATGAATGAAGATCAAATATAGGCTTTCATTTTTATCGGAAAATCGACATTACCATTTTCTCTTAATGAGACCTTCCACTGGTGGTGGAGTAGGTTAAATTTCAACAATCCTCTTCAGAACATAGTCTAATGGAACAGCTGAAAGGAAAGGGGAACATTACTTTGTCGATTAAAGTGTAGATTGATGGTAGATATGAAGTAATATCAAATGTCACTGTGTGAATTTGCTTTAGTTAATTAAGTCATATTAATCACAGTGTGAGTATTTGATCCCAGTCATCACCAGGAAGGTAATCAGTGGAAGCAAAGAAATTCCACGTGGGGAGGAAATATAAACACATAACACCCGTGTGTGCCTCCCAACTGCTGTTTCCAGAAGTCAATTGGAAGAAACTGGGGCCACCCTAATTTCCCCGTCAGTGGAGTGAGGGAGACTGAGGAAGATATTTCCTTTGGTTAAAATAAGGATTATGCATGACTTTATGCCAGTTCATCCAAAGCATACCTATAGAAGAACCTGGTGGAGATGCAATCCAAAACAATATTCCTTTTTGGAAATATATACATATATATAAACTTTTGTTTTATCATAATTACAGTTTTTGGAAGGCTACCAGCACCACAGAATGTGAGAATGCATTCCATCAATTTTAAAAATCTGCTTCAGTGGAACCCGGTCATCTATCATAAAGGCAACATTCATTATTCAGTAGAGTATCAAAGGTGAGTGACAACAAGGGGACTGGAGATTATAATTATGATATTAATTGGTTACTCACTGCGAATCCAACTGCCTAGCAAGTGTGAAGTGGGTAGACAGAATAAATTAAAAAGATGTTTTCAGAATGCTCACTCTTTATATAAAAACTACAATGAAGCCAGACAACTGTCAATATTGAATGAAAGCATGCTAATTAATGTTAATCTATTGTTGCCTCTGTTTAAGTCTCAGCCTGTCTCTTTGGTAGCATTTTCACTCTGAATTAGAAGCTTGGGGTTCAGAGGCTTGATTATATAACTCCAGTTGACACTCCAGTGCAGTACTGAGCAGATAGTGTGCAATCAAAGGTGCTGTCTGCTGGATGAGAGACTAAACAGAGACCCTGTTAGGTGTATATTAAAGATTCAGCTAACTATTTGAAGATCAAAGGTGTTATCTGTGGTGCACTGAACCATATTTAAGAACATCACAAAATTGTCTGATCATTATTGGATTTATTCCTTGTGGGACCAGCTACATGCAGATCCGCTGTCCTGTTTACCGACAATACAGCAGTTCCAATAACTACACTTCAACATTAATAACAGCGCCAACTTGCATTTGTACAGTGACCTCCACATTATAAAAAAATCCAAGGCACCTCAAACAAAATTTCTCACCGAGGAGTTATTAGGTTAGATTGTTTAAAAAGATGGGTTTTAAGAAGTGTCAAAAAGCAAAAGAGAAAGGTTAAGAGGTGGAAAGGTTTGGTCAAGAAATTCCAGGACCATACAGCCTTGGCTGCTGAAGACATACTTTTTAATTAATGTAGCACATTGAAAATCAGGAATTAGAATTGCATCTGGATGTTTTACATATACAGAGAGTAATATAAATAAATGAATTTATAAGTTAAGTATTAAATATTAGATGTGGTCTAATACCACATCTGTGAAATGGTCGGCAAGAAAGATCAGTACTAAGAAAGCAAATCCATACCACTAAAAATTATATAAATGGGCAAAGAATAATTGTCACGTGCGTTTGTACACTGAGCGTTTTTACTGTACAGTGTTTATCGGAAGAGAAGGTTTTGAATGCTATAGCGTCCAGTGTACTTTCAACATGTTACACATTCACTTAAAAAAGAAAGGTGAATATTGTAGTTGGCTCACCGAGCTGGTTCGTTGTTCCGCAAATGTTTCATTACCCTGCTGGGTAACATCATCAGTGCAGCCTCCGATGAAGCGCTGTTGTGTTTTTCCACCTGTTATTTAAACTCTGGTGTCCGTTGAGCTGGATTACCTCACTTCCGGTTTTCCTTCGCAGTGGAGTTTATATGGGGTCTAGCTCTATTTGTTTATTGATGACTTTCTTAGTGGAGAACCAGGCTTCTAGGAATTCCCATGCTTGTCACTGCTTTGCCTGTCCCAGGATCCTCAGACCTTAGAGAAAGGTGAATAGTTTGTTTCTCAATGATGTTATACATCAGGTTACTAAAACTCAGTGATTGGTGGAAACGGGAGCAATCCAAATCCAGATCTATGATCTATGATCTATGAAATATGTAATGTAAGTTATGAAAATAAGAATTCTGAAAACATTTATTTTTACTTCCATGATGTAACTTGCCTGCAATATTCATCAAGAACTTTAATGAATGCTTGCATTTGTATAGAAACACCCAAGACCACGGGACATCCCAATCATCAAATGCATTACTTTTGAAGTGTGATCACTGTCGTGATGTAGGAACAGCAGCCAAGTTGCACCTAGCAAGCTCTCACAACCAGCTACATAATAATAAGATAATTTGACTTTCTGATGTTGATTGAGAGATAAATATAAACTGGGCAATATGGGAAAACTCTTTCCTCTTTCAAAATCACTTGAACAAGAGAAAAGCTCAAGTCTATTCCAACATTTAATGAGATCTTGATTGATCTGCAACCTAACTCCATAACTGCACACCAATTCATCTTTTCTCTTATCCCTCCATATCTTTGTTGAATAAAAATCTGTTGAAGTTTTAAAATTAATCAAACATCAGTTTGCACTTATGGTTCCAAATCTCTACCACCCTTTGCAGCACCTCCTATAATGCAGCATTGCCTCAATGCCACACTGGAGAGTCAGTATTGATTTTTGTGATTGAATCATGGAATGGAATGTGAACCCAAACCCAGAGGCAAGGGTTCATTCAAATGAGCTGCCACATATACAATGTACCTGATGATTTATTTTCCATTTTATTTTCAGCTATTATGATAAAGATTTTAAAAAACACACACATTTTAAGAAAGGCTGCACAAGCATCAGAATGACAGAATGTGACTTGTCCATACTATCCATTATGGTTGGTTATTACCTGCGTGTAAGGGCTGAATATGAAAATGAGACATCGGAATGGGCTGTTATCGATGAATTTGAACCTTCTGTACACAGTAGGATTCCTTTTTGCTTTTTCTGTTTTTTCCTACTTAATTTTCTTTGAAATTACATATTTGTCATGATTTTCTAAATGGATTACTAATGTAAACTGTCTTTGTGACATAGCTGAAATTGGACCGCCTTCAGCAGTGGTTGTGAAGCCAAGATTAGATATGCTCGATGTCAATATCACTGGGCCCATAAATGAGAATAATAATACATCTATGCAAGAATATTTTCTCGACATGACTTACAAAGTGTCCTACTGGAAAGTTGGAGAGGAAGAAAAGGTAAGTTTCAAAGGAGTAGAAAAGAAGAGTTTTTTTTCTTTTTTTATAGGGGTACAACTTCCTTGCAATTGTAAATTCTGATGAGCTAGAAAATCTTTAGTCATCTTACCAGTTTGTGGGGGTCCAGCTCAACTGAAGTGTCAATTCTGGTAAGCATGCACAATATGCTCACTATGCCAAAAATAATTTTGCCGTCAACTACAATTGTTTAAGAAATAATTTATCAGAATCCATTGGTAAAGGTTCCTAATAGCTTATTAAATAACATATCCTTCCTGCAAGCATTTTTACTACTTTTATCCATCCTCACTGACGTTGTCTCACCCTTGCTAAGGGCAATTTTCCTATAAGGATGTAATTGCAGGACACAATAATTATCTGAATTTATAGCTGCAACTAAAGCCTGGTTCTACTTGTTTGTGAACTGTTCATTGCCTATTTCATAGAATTTTGCAAAGAAAGAGGCCATTTGGTCCATTTTGTCCATAGTGGCTGTCTTCAAAAAGAAACTCATGCTTTGCGATTCTTTTCCCTTTGAATAATTATCCAGTTGCCTTTTGATAACCACAATTAAATTTTCCTCCATCACATGTCAACAGAGTACATTCCAAATTCTTCCACTTACTTCATGGAAATGTTTATCCTCACGTGGCTTTTTTTTAGCCATTCATCCTTGAATCGGTGTTCTCTGGCATTCAAACATTGTGCCTGTGGGAACAGTTTCTTCCTATCTATGCTGTACAGACACCTCCTGATTTTGAATGCCTTTGCAAAATCTCCCTTCAACCTTCCCTTAAAATAACAGCTTCTCCAGCATTTCCACGTTACTTTTTTATTCATTCATGTGAATGTTGCTGGCAAGGTTAGAGTTTATTACCCCTCCACAATTACCCATGAGGAGGTGGGTTGTGCCATCTTCTTGAAAGGCCACGGTGCATATGATGTAGGTACACACTCAGAGATGGTAGGACGGGAGTTCCAACACTTTGACCAAGTAACAGTGAAGGAATGGTGATATAGTTCCAACACTGCATGATGTGTGACTTGAAGGAAATCTGCATGTGATGAAGTTCCCATGAGTCACCTCATCAGGAAACTCAATCAAGTTGTAGTTTTCACAATTTACAATTTCATTACAATTACTTGATTGTATTACCATGTAGCAACTGGCTGACTGTTAGATATTGCTCTTTTATTAGCTCTTGTTAATTGGTTTATTGGTTTCACTGTTCACAAAAATGGCAAATCAAAGTGTTCAAAATAATGTCCAGTGAAGTCTGACTATATGTTGTACATGGTGTTCCAGAACCTCTTGATATGCCCTTGTTCACTGCACATTGTCCTGAGTAGAATATATCAATGGTAAGAACATGAGAGAAAGTAGAACAAAAAGAAGTGAAATTTTATCAATGGAGGCCACTCTTTTCAATTAATTACAAACAGTTTGCACTTTTGTCCCTGTTGAAAAAGGGAATTATTGACGGCTACAATTCTAATTAGAGGAAATTCTCAAAAATACTTTTGCTGTATCTCCAAGGATAATGGCACAAAAATTTATTAATTTGTACAGTCTGAGCATTAAAATTTTTGAGACTAAATGCACAAATGTCCAATATGTCAATTCTTAAACAGTACCACCTTGTGTAACAGTTTCAAAGATGTGCATCAATGCAAAACTAGGATATAATTGAGAAAATTGTATTCTGTTCTGGTTGCTGTGGACTTATGAAACTGATCAACCCATTGAAACCATAGTTTCCGTGGATTCAGCAGTAATATCAAAGTACGTATATTGAAAAGAATTGTGCCTGTTGTATGAGTCTACAAGTAGCTTTATGAAAATATTGACGGTAATTCTTTGTAATGCTTTCATTAAATATGTTTTATCTGACTTGCTTCGTCTATTCGGATTTTGGAACCATTTAATGGACCTTTCGAATCGCCACACAGATTGAGAGTATTAACACTAATCAGATGATGACAACCCTCACAAATCTTGAAGCTTGGACCACCTACTGCCTGACAGTGGAACCTGTCTTGCGTAATAGAAAGACACACCCGAGTTCAATTGTCTGTGGAACTACAAAGGATAATGGTATTACTATGTTCTGCTATTTGCATCATTACAATATTTATGCTAGTACAGTCAACATTTAAAGAAATACAGTGGGATAAAACCATACATCATTCGGGTGCATTTTCTCCTGTTCTGAAAAGCTGGGTCTTCTTGGTACTGCTGTTGTATTGCTAAATCATGTATTCCTGATCCCTAATGCTGCTGGACACTCGGTGTTGGATTTTTTTTAACAATGTTGAGATTCTGTGGGCTTTAAAAAAATGACAGATGGGATCTGGAGATTCCACCAACTTCCAACAGATCCAAATTTTGCTGGTCAAGGAAGAGAAGTGGTACGGGAACCACTTAGACATGAAACCCAAACTCAGCTTGTCACTTGTCTTATCCCATAGCGTGGGAGTCATGATTTTGAGGAAGAGAAGTAAGTATCCATGAAGGACAGGTCAGGTCAATAGAATTGTAAAATAACAAAGAAACTTGCGTATGTCAGTGGAAGTTCAAAAGACTCAAGATACATAGCTATTTAAATCTCCAGCCTTTTAAAATTTTGAAACTTAAAAGCCTGTATGTGTCAATGAGAATTGAAAAAAAAATCTTTCTAGTAACTACAATTGCTATTTGTTGACATTACCCCAAGAACCATAATTAAATTATTAGTAATGGTTGGCTGTTTTCTATATTGAGCTATTATTGCAACAGATAGATTATAAGTTTACTTTTGTTTTAGCAGCTCAAAGAGGTTATTAAATAATTCAGTCTTTGAAGTGAGCTTACAATTATTGGTCTATTTGCTTTGATAAGGGATTGAGTACATGAGGAGCTTTTAAGGTTTTGAGTGGACTTTATTAGTGAAAGCTGTAAAATATACTCAGATTGTTATTTTGCCCAGTGTGTTCTGATGGCTTAGATTGGTAGATTTCTGAAAGCATTAGAAGAAAGAGGACAGGTGATCTATGTTCTAACCAAGGTTTACCCTTTGCCTATAAAGGGAAAAATTGAAAATCAATTCCATTGATTTTTACTGGGAACTTGCTGTGTGTAAAATGTGGTGTAAAACACCAGAAGTAGAAACTGATAATAAATCCTGAAGCCCCTTGAAGATGTTCTGCCATCCTGTTTGATCTTGGCTCAGCCTCCTCATCACCTCCATTCTCCTACAAATTTCCCTACATTACGCTTGCTACTCCAAAATCTATCAGTCTTAGTCTGGAAGTTATTCAATGGTTAAGCACCAACAACTTTGGGAGTATAGAATTCCAAAAAAATTCACAACTCTTGCAATGAATTTTCTCAAGTCAGTTCTAATTGAGGAAATGGTTAGGTAGACCTAATTTGTTTTCTTTGTAACAGAGGCTGAATGGATCTTTAATTGATGTGTATAAAATTATGAGACACCTAGAATGAGTGGACAAGAAGGACCTATTTCAATATCCAATAAAATTGATTTAAAGTAATCAACAGAAGGATTGATTGGCAAATTGAGGAGGGATATTTTCACTTAGAAGGCCTGTAAATTTTTGCCTGAAAGGGTGGTACAGGCTGAAACAATAACTGGGACATACATTTGGACTGGATAGCTCTTGCTCAGCTGGCACAGACATAATGAGTCTTCTGTGCTGCATATTTCCTTTGTTTGAATTTTATAAGGTGGATGGTTCCCGCACCCTGGCTAAGATGTGAGATGCAGAGCCCTCTCACAATTCCAAAGGAAAGTCGACCTTAAAGAGCTACCTGCTAAGCAGTAGCCGACAACTCCAGTGCAAACACTGGATACTGTTGAGACTACACTGTAGGCAGTCCCACCACTCCGAAAAGCCCAGGTAAGTACAAAGTGGAATGTTTAGCTAAGAGGAGGGAGGAAGAGTTGAGTTCAAGATACCAAAGAGAGGGGAATGAGGTTTACCTCTGTTGGGGCCCAGGGGACCTGGGTGTCCTGTTACCAATAAAACTCCAACAGTGGTAGGATAAGGCCATTAAGTGGCCTTCCCCACACTCAGTAAAAATTCAGGCATGTCAGGATTGGCTTATCACATGATCTGTTTCCTCCAACTCAGGAAGACAAAAAAGTGCATGTAGGCCAAAGTTGACTTGATTGGCTGTTTGGAAGCAAATTTAGCCAATATCCCGTCCTCTAAGTGATTAGTCTTAATTACTCAACTCCAACCTTGGATTATTGTACTTAATGCATTGCTAATGAGGGAGGAGATGGGAGTTCTTCACACTCTCCTGAAGAAATTGCCTTAAATGGGTTTTGCAGGCATACTGTCTCCATTTCAATGGGATTCAAATATGGAATGCGCAATAATGTTAATTAATTGGCCACCTTGGCTATGAACTTAAGTCACTTAGCTTCTGTGTTTCTTAAATTTTTGATTTTTAAAGTTTAATTCATGTTTCCAGCTGAGGGATTATAATCATTACACAAAAAAAAACTGAAGAACTGTGGATGCTGGAAATCAGAAACAAGATCAGAAATTGCTGGGAAAACACAGCAGGAGGGAAAGCAGAATTAAGGTTTTGGGTCCAGTAACTCTGCTTCAGAACTTTCGGTCACCAGACCTGAAACTCTAACTCTGATTAATAATCATTTTTTAGTATAATGTACATCTTCATGACACTGGTTATGTCCGTTTGCAATATCTTTGTGTCCTTTTCACACATACTTTCTCACCTAGCTTTGTATATTAGCAAATTTGGACATATGGCACTTTATAACAATCTAAGTCATTGATATAGATTGTAAACCATTGAGATTCGAGCAATGATCACTGTGACACTCCAGTAGTTGCAATGTGTCAAGCCAAAAGTGATTTATTTATTCCTAATTTCTATTTATGCCAGTCAACCAATTCTTAATCTATGCTAATGTATTATCTCTGATCTCCAGAACCTAGGACTGGATCTTTTCATGGCATAAATGGCAGTCAAGCCTAGAAACTGAAGTCCTACAATGCACATGGCACTTCTCTTTTTCAGTGGGGTAGGAGTGGGGTTAGATTGGGATTTGTGTATCCATGACTCACAGAGACAGCTGAGTACCTAAATAATCAATTACTTCTCTGAATTATGCTAATCTTGAAGCCTGAAACTCAAAGTGTGCAAAGTTGACCTGGTGACGGGAAGTTTAGACTCTAGAGATGCAAGAAGTTCACTTGCATTTGGTCTCAGCATACCACTGGGGTGGGTAATTGCCCTTTGGTGAAAATCAAATGCCCTAATGTGGAGGTCAGATTCCTACTGGGGCAGGTCAGGTGAACACGCATTGTAGCATGCAGAGTAGCTGCATGGGGCGGCACAGTGGCTCAGTGGTTAGCACTGCTGCCTCACAGCACCAGGGACCTGGGTTTGATTCCAGCCTCGGGCGACTGTCCATGTGGAGTTTGCACATTCTCCCCGTGTCTGCATGGGTTTCCTCTGGGTGCTCCGGTTTCCTCCCACAGTCCAAAGATGTGGAGGATTGGCCTTGCTAAATTGCTCAGTGTTCAGGCATGTGTAGATTAGGTGGTTTATAGAGGGTATGGGTATGGGTCTGGGTGGACTGCTCCAAGGGTCAGTGTGGACTTGTTGAGCCAAAGGATCTGTTTCCACATTGTAGGGATTCTATGATCTATGAAAACTTACACAGTGTTAATGTGCTGTTTGTTCAACAATTAATGCTGTTCTAATATAACTCTATCAGGTCTACACCTTGTTATCTCAGATTCTCCAGCATCGGCAGTTCCTACTATCTCTGAATGCCGTTCTAATGTTTCCTTTAGTAGATTCTGAAACCTTTGTCCTATGTTATCCATATTACGTTAACATTAGCTTGTCAAGGAAAAAAGTACATTTTTTGGAAAAATATCATTAAAGGATGGTGTTTTTCTGTTGCTTGTATTCATAGTGTGTTGTGTTTTTCATTTAAATTTCGAGATTCACTATATGAAGTCATGCACATCCTGATACTCTTTCCTCCCCTCTGCACTGATGGAAACCTAGAGCAGAACCAATTTATCAAGTGCAAAAAAATACACCTTGTGTCAACCAACTGGATCCATTTTTGCAACACAATTATTTTATTTTATCCTCATTGTGGTAGTTTCAGATTCCATCAGAAATAGCTTTTAAGTTGTGTGTCCAAATGATATTTTCTTACAAATGTTCTTCCTTTTGTTTGTGCTTGCAGGTAGCGTTCCAGTGTGGCAAGTGATCGTGGCTCTTCTGGCATCAATTTTAGTTGTTTTTGGTGTGATAATGGGAATTTACTACTCATCACATTATATTTACAGGACTGTCAGACATAGTTTCTATCCTTCCTACAATCTCCCCGAGCACTTAAAAGAGGTATGTGTTACTCCAGTTATCTATCTCCATTCCTGAATAACAAACCACCAAATTTAAAACATTGCAACAGGAGTAGGCCATTTAGCCCATTGAGTCTGCAACACTATTCCAGTTCGTGGCTAGTCATCTCATTAATGGCACTTGCCCACATCATCTCCATATTCCTCAAATGTCATCAGCTTCTAAAGTCTATCAACTTGTATCTTGAACCTGCTCAATAGCTGACCTTCTACAGGCCTCTGGGGTAGAGAATTCCAAAGATTTCCCACCATCTGAAGGAATTCCTCCTTACCTCAGTCTTAAAAGGCCTGTCCTTTAATCTGAGATTATGTTCCTGGTTTTAGAGTCACCAGCCAGAGGCAGCATCCTATCTATATCTACCATGCCATGTCCTGAAAGAATTTTGTTAAGTGTCAACAGCATCAGTGGAGACCAGTTGTACATAATACTCTAGGTGAGATCTCACCAAATTTTTCTACAACGGCAGCAAGACATGAATGTTGTTTGCCTTTCTAATTCCTAATCTCATGTAATTTAGCAAAATGTAAGTAAATTCCAGCTATCTTTTCACGAGCAAAAACAAAGCTGCTGGAAAAACTCAGCAGGTCAATAATTGAGTTCAATAATTTTAGGGCCTAAACTCTCCCATGTCCCAGCCCCCCACCCCACACACCAGGCCTTGTTACCACATAGCCTGCCACTACACATTCCCTGTTGTTAGTCACTATTAACAACTACTCACCCTCCCAGCCTGATCGTTAGCAACTCCTTTGTCTGTCCAACTGTCTTTCTCTCTCTTTGGGCTCTATCCTATCGTTTACTCCCTACCCCACCCACCTCCCTATTTTCTGCATATAAACTGAAGTTTTCCCAGCCACCATCAGTTCTGAGGAAGGGTCACCGGATCCGAAACGTTAACTCTGTTTTCTCCCCCACAGATGCTGCCAGACCTGCCCAGCAACTTTGTTTCTGATGACGGGTCTAGGCCCGAAACGTCAGCCTTCCTGCTTCTATGATGCTGCTTGGCCTGCTGTGTTCATCCAGCTCTACACCTTGCTTTCTTTGTTTTTGTTCCTGATTTACAGCATCCGCAGTTCTTTTGGTTTTTATCTAGCTATCTTTTTCTTGCTAGCTGCTAATAACTGTTATCACTGTTTTAATAAGCCTTAGGTATGTGACATGAATGCAGCGTAAATGTTGTCACTGTTTCCATGATACACAGTGCTGGTATGCAATAGAATAGTTTTACAGACGGTGCCTGCAGAGGGTTTCAAGGTGAGGGGTTGCTAGAACAACTGACTGTAACAGAACAATTCTCATGAAAGTAAATAGATCAAATTAGCTATTCCTTACCAGACTCCAAACTGCTATTAGACTCTAGTCACCAGCTGCCAACAATACATTGGGTAGTATTTAAGAGGTGACAGGGATCTCATTCCCCTGGCTGGAGATCTGGCGAGTGCCCCACATCACTTCCATTAGGGAACACTCAATGTATCATGTGCTGCTCACATACCTGACAGGCCACGTTTCCCTGGGATCAACAAATCCAGGGAGGAAAACTCCCAGCTCTGCTGAGAACTTCTACAAGGGGCTCTGATGAATAGCAACACTATGGGGAAGGTGGTGACTGCTGATGATACAACACCTACAATAGTCAGTGGATCCCAAACTACTATGGGGGTACAGTTGTGGGTGGGTGGGTGGGAGGGTGCGGTAGGGAGGGGAGGGGGCAGATGCCAGATGATGGCTGTTGAGGTAGAATGGGCTTGGGGTTGGCTGGTACCTTTGCACAGATTCCCACACCCACCCTTCTGAAGCCCACCCACACATGTTTCCCACATGGTGAAACTCACTTGCCTGGTTAATGTCCATTAACTACTCACTTAAGGCACTCAATCTGTAGGGGTTTTGGAAGGCTTTCCTGCCCTGGATTTAATCAAGGTGGTGGGATCCCCTCCTGCCTGACTAAATGACCACCCCCATCACCAAACTTGCCACAGGCGAGGGTATTAAATTCCACCTACAGTTGCTTTCAAGGCAAGCTCTCCACTTTTTAACTTCCAAATCATGTCCTTTGGAGAGTCAGCCCCCTAGATTTGTTCTTCAGGGGATTTTAAATTCTTCACATGACTTTGTGCATTATCTTTTCTGTGGAAGCATACACAGAGGGGTGGATTTTGGGTTTTGAGACAGGACCTCAATGTTGGGATCAAATGGTGATCCCTAATGGAACTCGTGTTGGGACTGCCTCCCGGCAGTGGTTTTCTTGGATTTTTCTGATCGGAGTCAGAGCTGCTGTCTGGCCATTCATTCAAAGGCTGGGTTTGGGCTCAAAACTGGACTTCCAATAGGAGGCTCTTCAGCAGAGAAGGTACTGCAGCCTGTCATTGCAGGTAAGGGCAGGCAAGGGTGCCTGCCATCTTGAGATTCCCCGGTCAGCAGCTTTTAAAGCTTATGATTACAGAAAAAGGTCATAGCTGCTGGGCCATCATTGTGGAGGGGGTGCTCCATCCTTGATCCTGCCTGTGGGACAAAGGTTTGAGGGCAGGATGATGCCTACTGTGATAGAGAAAATACGCACATTAATTAATAATCAGGATTGCTTTGTGAAGATGAATACGAGGTAAATGTTTCATCTATTCTGTGCCAGCAACCTCTCACAAAATGTAACAGATCCCTACTCCCTCCTTGATTTAACTCATTAAGTTCAAATGGATCTTTGTAAATAGGATCGAGACATGAGTGGATGAAAATTAAATAACAGCCACACAAATATTCCTTAAGTATATAGTATCCAATAATATTGAATATGCGTGAACTTATGATTGTTTTCTGGATTCCAGACTTCCTGTTTACTGTTAATGGCTTCGTTATTAGTTGATTCCAGCAAACTGAACACTGCACCTCAGTAAATGATCAGAAAAGTGCAACACCAGTTATATTTTAGGGAATTATGCTGATTTTTACTTTATAGTGAATGATTAACCTTAAATGGTTTTGTTTTTGTACAGTACCTGAAAGAACCTTCATTGAATTCTCAATTTCTACTGCCCCTGACTAACCTATGTGAAGACTCATTTGACAAACTGAGTATTATTTCAGACATCCAACATAGTATTGATAACACAAACATTGACATGAATACAAATATGTGAATCGTTGGGAAACAGCTATGAAGGAGGAAAGTCTGGCAATTGAGAATGGAGAGGAAGTTAAAGGGATGCAAAATAATAGCAACTTCAATCTTTATGGAAGAATGCAGATGCTGCCAAATAGTGCTACTTGAGCGAGTCAAAACTGAAGATATATTGAAAGAAAATGTCATACATACAACTTACACTTCTGTGGAATCTTTGTGAAAACTTAGTTCTGTATATTTCCTTCGGTTGTACATGAAGTTAACATCCTGCGTGTCTGCATAATTTTCTTTCATTTCCTCTTGGTGAACCACGGACATTTATCGCCAATCCCAATAAATCTGGGCAAGTGTTATTCGTTATATTTTAGCAGTAACATGATGTTTTGAATGATATTTGGAAATGCTTTTGCTGTGATTTTTGCAACTTTTACATTTTGTTCAGTAACTTTTTCATGTTTTGTTAACGAGCATTCATTTGGATTTAACGGGCTGAATTTTACCAAAAATCAGTGAAGTTGCGATTTTGGAGAGTATTGTGGAGGATTTGTGAGGATTTTCCCACGTAATTCTGCACTGCTCACCTCATTATGGATGCTCCATGCCTCCGTTTTGCCCATTCCCACTATCCGTTGCTCAGCATTGGCAAAAACCATTGCCAAAACTCTCGCAGTTGCCCGTGCTGATGCCACATTAAAGCCCAACTGTGTCACACAATGCTAGAAGTGCTACTTCTCCTCCAAGACCCAGCAGAGCATAATATCTTATCATTGTTCAATATGAATTGTGGCTCGATGGTGAGACTGTTAAGGTTACCTGTGATTACGTCTTCTTCAAGAACTGTGTGACAATGATCAATTTATAATGGCCAATGAACATGGTCAAGATTGCTTTTGACCAGGATGGAGGCCTAGAGGAGTAGGTGGCGAGTTGGACTTGGTCACAATTGGTACTTGCTCTGTGTTTCAAGTCAGGAATTGTCGCCATCTAGTTTCTATCCAGTTTTTGGGAGAATACAAAACTGCATATAAATTAGGCACAACTTAGGTACTAATGACAGATAGTAGGAACTGCCGATGTTGAAGTATGAGATAACAAGGTGTGGAGCTGGATGAACACAGCAGGCCAGGCAGCATCAGAGGAGCAGGAAAACTGACGTTTCAGGTCTGCACCCTTCTTCAGAAATGGGGGAGGGCAAGGGGGCTCTAAAATAAATAGAGAGAGGGGAAGGCGATGATAGAAGGTGGATAGAGGAGCAGATCGGTGGAGAGAAGACGTACAGGTCAAGGAGGTGGGGATGAGGCTAGTAGGTAGGAAGTGGGCGTGGGGGTTGGTCAGTGAGGTGGGAGGAGCGGATAGGTGGGAGAAGAGACAGACAGGTCAAGGAGGTGGGGACAATGAGGTCGGGGATGGGGAGATTTTGAAGCTTGAAAAGTCCACATTGAGACCATTGGGCTGCAGGGTTCCCAGGCAGAGTATGAGATGTTGTTCCTCCAGCCTTCAGATGGCATCGTTGTGGCACTGGAGGAGGCCCAGGATGGACATGTCGTCCAAGGAGTGGGAAGGGGAGTTGAAGTGGTTCGCAACTGGGAGGTGTTGTTTGTCACGAACCGGGCATAGGCACTCCGCAAAGCAGTCTCCAAGCCTCTGCTTGGTTTCCCCGATGTAGAGGAGGCCACATCAGGAACAACGGATACAATATACCACATTAGGTACTAATGAGATGTTAATGGATGCAAATAGACTACTCGCTGCTCACTAACAAGATTCTTGTCTGGCCATTCAAACCTAGGGAGCAAAATCTTTTATTTTCTTGATAAAACAACATAGAAGGGAAAGATTGCACCCTGCTTCACCAAAAAGGACCTGAAGCACAGAATGGAGAGGGCATTGCTTAATCCTGTTGATTGCCACAACAGGCCACGCCACCAGAGCCAGCCTGCCTAGACTGAGATAGTAGCCTGGGTGAGGACTGTATCACAGATAAAAAGGAATACACAGCAGTGCAGGAAGGAGGTCAATGTGGGCTCTGCAAGAGTAAGTGCTAGCACATACCAACTCTTATCTCACATTCACAGGGCTACAGTTCTAACTCTGCCAGTGCACACTCATGGACAACCACACTCAGCCATTGCAATTACCATGTCCACTCAATAGCTGATACCACTTCATCCTTCCAAAAAGCTAACCGTTCTAGCCTTCTGTGCTTCCTACTCAATGGGGGAACCTTACCATCTGTTCTCCTCCTGTATTACCACTAACATCTCTTCCATCCATTTCCGTCATGCTTAAACTCTCCCTTTTCCCCATTGCAGGAAAAGAATGATCCCCAAGAAAGCCAAGAACAGCTAAAGATGGTGATGGTTGTGGAGGTGGTGGGGCTAGGGAGGTGATTGTATACTTCGGGGTCCTCACTCCATCACTCTATGTAGAGAGAATATTCTTGTGTTAGCTGGAGAAGAACATAACTGCTCAGTGTCCAACCAAGCCAGTATGCTTCAGCATGCAGTGCCGTGCTGCCCTGCCACTCTCGCCAGTACTAACTCAACTTATGCAATACATTAATGTCTTTGACAGAGAAATCCTTTTTTGTGCACATGATAGCAGAACCCAACAAACCCTGGCCGAAAAGCAGCAAGTGCCATATCCTCAACTGCAACTCTAACAAGGAAAGCATTGCCCCCTGTAGCGTTAGGCTTAAAAATGGTATCTCCAAACCCAGATTGTTAAGGGTTAATCATGACGGGTTAATCAGACATGGCAATAAGCAATTGAAGGGAAAATATGCGAAGACAAGGCTTAATGTGAAAACAGCCAGTTTTGGCTGGAAGGTAATTGCAATGACTTTGGCTGGGTTTGAGAAAGACTGTTGTGCAAGGACCCCTAGACCCGTTTTTTCCAGAAAAGAATGCTTGGGGAAAGTACTTGGAAGGCAATGCAGTGCACAATATTAGATTCAGAATAGTATCAATACTGGGGATTTTTCACAGCTTGGGGGATCTGTCACTATCGGATTCGGGTTCACAAGACTAGGTCTGTGGACTTTCACCATTGGACTGGGGTTCATGGACCATTGCCATAGAAAATGAGATTGAGCTCCAAATGCTAGCCATTACCCAGGAGCCCACAAGGGGCATAAGGCAACAAGACTTGCTTGTTAAATGTGTCTAAAGTAGTTTAAGCTAATAGATTTGCTCATTAGTTTGCACATTTATAAATTAGATTAAGCGAATAAATTTTTTTTGTATCAAAGTGCACGTATCTTCTTGTATTCATTTTGGTCAGACTTTAAAGAGCCTGTTAGGCACTTTCAGACTAACAATACATTCTCAGAGGATGCAACTCTCTAACCTAATAAGCTTTCACCTTGATGGGTACCCATTATGATGCCAGTTTATAGTACTACTTAGCAAGTCAGAACCCAGACTGAAATCTGGTTTGATAGATCATATCTTTTTAGGTAACATAATGGTTATTCCTTGAAAAATTGGCACACAAAGCTGTAGATTTCCCTTAATACTGAAATGTGTTTATTACACAAAAGAAAGAAAAGAAATCAAACTATATAAGTATAAAACACAATGTTAAAACTCTTAAAACATACAAAACAAAGTTTCATCTATTTCCCAAACTTTAAAAATGGTAGAATATGCAGATAAATTGCATACCTTTCATCCCAACTGTCTGATCCAAGATAGCGCCAAAGCACAGTGACTCTTTGCGAGTTCTCTACACAGATCTTATTCTTACGTATCGTACAATCATTATGTTCTTTAAAAATTACATTGTATTCCTCACTCCGTTCTATTACCTTTATGTACTTTGGATGATCTGCACACAAAACATCACTTTTCACTGTACCTAGGTACATGTGACAATAATAAATCAAATCAAAAAATATCCTTGGACACATCTCACCCGACCCAATACGTTATCAACATCAGGTACCAAAACGTCATCCAATAACTTGCCCCTATCAATTTTAAAGCCTGCTAGTGACTGAGTTTCATTCTGTCAATACAGCCTTGGCAGCATCTGCTTCATAGGTAAAGACAGATGCAAAGTGTTAATTTAACACTTCAGCTTGGCCTCCTGCCTCCATATGTAAATTCCCTTTTTGGTCCCTGTTGGGAAAAGATAGAGCAGCCTTGAGTTGTGTGTTCAGAAGTACAGTCGATCATTATTCAAGCTCTTTACGACACGTGCGGGACAGGCCAGAGACTACTCCAAATCTGGATTTCACTTGGGCTCCAGTCGCCCTCTTAAATCCAGCTCAGATCAGAAGAGAGGTCAATGACGCTATGATTTCCCCAGTTGAATACAGCATTTTTATACATTCTGCATTAAAATAATTCCATGCAACATTGTCATTGTTCCTTCCCTTTTAATCTATACATCCAATCCTGTGAACCACCTGATCAATGATGGACACCCCTATGGACAGCCCAGGTTCCCCATGACCTCATGATGTTTACCAGACATCGTAATCATCAGGCCTTGGGATCATACAATGTATCCTATTAACTCATATGCCAATGTTAACAGTTTTACTCTTTATCAGACATCTCCCAGACTTGCTTATGTCTAAGGACTGCTCGAATTCTGTGATTCATTGTATTCATTGCTATCCCTATCAAATTCTGTTACTCATCTTATATTTCCCACTATCTTAATCACAGGAGATACAAGAGGTTAGTTCTTACTAATTGCTATAAAATTCATAATATTAGTTCTAGCATAAAGTTAGTTATATGTAAAGTTGTATGGTTATACCTATTGTTAGCATTCTTCAGCTAATGAATTGTGAGCAGTTTCTGTCCCAACTGATCTTTGAGGGTCAGGTAGACACTGCTCCTCTATCTTGCAGCTGCACTGTAATTCATTCTAGTCACATTCTGAGATGAAATTTACTGTCCCTTCTCTGGCTAACTCTTTTACCTAATAAGACAACATTTTTGTCATAAGACTAAAACTCATTCACTTTCATAGCCCAACGAACTTGTCTGATCTCCTACGTTTATAGAAGGTATAATCCCACCGTTATCATTTGTATCTGTTATTGTGGGATACTACTTTTTTAATGCTTGCTACAGCTGTCTGTTCTCACACATCTCTTGTCGAACTGTCTCCTACAGACATCTGCAGCTGTTATTTTTACGGAACTCCCTGTATATTAACTTGTAAGATTGTTTGTTCAAAGTAGACCCTGTTACCTTAGGATAACTCGTTCTCAAAGCTACCATTGTGCTAATTTTTTACTTCATTTTAATGCTGGATGAAACAAGCTAATTCTGTTACTGCAGCCATATTTATGCCAACATATGACCATGTTATGCCACCTCTGACCAGGGACTGCTCCAACAGTACCTAATCAGCTTGACCCCTCTTGTCATTCTTTTACTAATGATTTGCTTGTAGAAGACTTTGGTATTTCATTTTATGTTAGCTGCCTCTTTTTAAATTTTCCTTTCATTCTTTTACTTTTTAACTTCCCTTCTGCACCCATTGTACTCAGTTTGGTTCTCAATTATGTTCACTGCCTGACATCTGCCATAAGCAGAGATAACAAGGTGTAGAGCTGGATGAACACAGCAGGCCAAGCAGCATTAGAGGAGCAGGAAAGCTGACGTTTCGGGCCTAGACTCTTCTTCAGAAATGGGGGAGGGGAAGGGGGTTCTGAAATAAATAGGGAGAGAGGGGGAGGCGGATAGAAGATGGATAGAGGAGAAGATAGGAGGAGACAGACAGGTCAAAGAGGCGGGGATGGAGCCAGTAAAGGTGAGTGTAGTTGGGGAGTTAGGGAGGGGATAGGTCAGTCCAGGGAGGACGGACAGGTCAAGGGGGCGCGATGAGGCTAGTAGGTAGGAGATGGGAGTGGGGCTTGAGGTGGGAGGAGGGGATAGGTGGGAGGAAGGACAGGTTAGGGAGGCGGGGACGAGCTGGGCTGGTTTTGGGATGCGGTAGGGGGAGGGGAGATTTTGAAGCTTGTGAAATCCACATCTGCCATAAGCACACTTCTTTATTTTTAAATTCATTTCTGAAATCTTTGTTGTCTAGGGAGCTCTGATTTTTTTAATCCTACCTTTTTGTTTTGAGGGAATATGCCTTGACTGCGCCAAGTTATGTCCCCTTTAAAGTCCCCTCAATTTCAGCCATTGCTTTTGCCGACAACCGTTTCGTTCCAGTCAATGTGGCCCAGCTGTATTCTTGGACCATTAGAGTCAGTTCTCTGCCAGTTTGGTTATTCATTCTCTGGACTGACCAATATCATTTTTCACCATCATCCTAAACCTCATGATACAATGATCGCTGTTTCCTAAAGATACCCTCACTATCGCTTGATCGACTTGGACCACGGTAATTCCCAAGAACACTGCCTCCTTTCTGTTGGACTGGATACATTCTGCTGTCAGGAATTCTCTTGAACACAACCTAAGAATGCTGCCCCATAACCTACCGTTAGCCTTGTCTATATACGGACAACTAAAGACCCCACTATAAAGCCCTACTTGTAGATTTGTTCCTCTATATCCTTCTCACCAGTTGATGGTCTTGAGATTACACCCAGCTATGTAATTACACCAACTGAAACAGAAATTGCTGGAGAAACTCAGCAGGTAGAGCAGCATCTGTGGAGGGAAAGCAGAGTTGACGTTTTGAGGTTGGATTGACCCTTCTTCAGAACTGGGTTTCTCCAAAACTTTTTTTTTGTTTGTTTCGGATTTCAAACATCCACAGTTCTTTGTTTAATTTAATGTAATTACACCCGTCTTGCTCCTTAACTGTAGCCAAATCGATTCTGTCTTTGAACCCTCTGAAACATCCTCAAACCCCAGTACTGCAGTGCTGTCCGTAACAGCAATTGCCATCCCTCCATTCATTTTATCCTTCCCCAACGTCTCCAAACACCTTGTGACCAGGAATATTTTACATCCAGACATGTCATTCCTTGAGCTAAGAGTCCGGTAATGCCACTCCGCGTGGCAGTGCCTGTAACTCCCAAAACCTTGTTAACTATATTCTGTGTACTCACATTCATGCGGCGTCACCCTCATTCATTCATTCATTCATTCATTCATTCATTCATTTCTTTTCTCTCCGGCTCCGTCAGTGTCAATGGTGCAGTGACTCGGCCGGGCCGCTGGGGGCAATGCGAATGGGAGTGTGGGCGGCACAATATGTCAGCCGGCTCTCAGGGGGGTGAAACTGGTGTGTTAGGTTTTCGGATGTTTGTGAGACGTCCTCCGCAGTGAAGTCAGAGTGTGTTACAATGTTTCCTGTAAATCACATGGAAGCTGAGAGACAGTTTATAGATAGCAGGAACTGCCTATGATGGAGAATCTGAGATAACAAGGTAGAGAGCTGGATGAACACAGCATCAGAGGAGCCGGAAGAAGGGTCGAGACAGTTTATAGAGACTGGGGAACGAGTGAAGACAGAAGGAGGAGAGTAGCATGGCTGTGGCGGCGCTGTGGGTCTACACAATGACAATGTTAACACTCCAGGGTAAGAGCTGGCGTTTCCTTCAACATTCCCCTCTGGGACTGTAGACGCGGCCAATCCCAACTCTGCTGGGATCAAATGATGCGCTTTCCTTAACTGAAAAATTAAGTGAACGCCCCTGTCTTTTATTTAACCGAACTGATGATTGCAATTTTATATTTTGTGCTCACCTGTCAAATAGAATGTGGCTTCATTTTTTAATTTCGTTGGTACTTAAACGGAGTATTGAACACTACTGGGGAGGCAGTGGCCTAATGGTATTATCGCTGGACTGTTAATCCAGAGACCTGATTCTAATGATAACCATGAATCCATTGTTAATTGTTGGAAAAACTCATCTGGTTCACTAATGTCCTTTAGGGAAGGAAACTGCCAGCCTTACCTGGTCTGGCCTACATGTGCCTCCAGCCCCTTGGCAATGTGGTTGATTCTGAACTGCCCTCTGGGCAATTAATACTGCCTAGCTAGTGATGCCCTTGTCCTGTTAATGAATAAAAAAACACGCATTTGATTAAAAACAGAAAATGTAAGGTTCTTCATCATCCCGTTCTTCATTAATGAAAGATTTGGAGAAAGACCTTGGCGTCAAACCTGATGAGCATTTCCAACCTTTTTTTGTCTGATTTCAGATTTCCAGTACTTGCAAATGTTTCTTGTAAATTGTAGATTTGCAGTACTTGTTTGGAAATGATTGCTAGGCAGAGGTTTCTATTCTCTCGCCTACAGTATTTCCATCTGTCCTAAAAGTGTTGTCAGTAATTTGATGATTCATTGAATTATGCACTGAGTGTGTCAATGTAGAAGAGAGGGCATGGTAACCAGATTTACAAAAATAGAACAAATGCAGGACTAAGTTATCTTGAATACAGAAGTGTCAGTAGACAGATAAAAATTAGGAAAACCATTTGGGCTATCTTAATTCCTTTTCTAAATATTGGCTCTGATTTTGATGGGGCATGGTACCTTGTGGTATGTGTCTTGGAATGTTTTCCTGCTCAAGAATTTTATCTGGAAGTTAAAGTGCAAGCTGAAAATAATGTAATGAAAGTTTATCTCCTCAACCAATGAGATATAAGGATTGAAACAGAAACAAGAACAAAGAGAAAGTAAATTATGGTGGATTCAGGAGAGTCAACTCTGGCATGGAAAGTGAACTCTGGCATGGAAAGTGAAAGAGACAAAGACAAATTGGGGCAAGAGAAATAAGACAAAGGAAAAGTAATAAGACCATCGTACAATTTTAAAACTCCAATCTTATGGCATGCAATGACACTCCACAGTTAAGCAGGTTCAGACCTTATGAAATAAATTATTGAAAATATTTCAGTTAAAATGATTGTGAAGTTTAATGAGGGCAGATGTAAAATAGGGAGACCGTAATGTAAATACGATGTGAATGATGTTGAAAGAGCACAGGAATTTAGTTGACACAATGTGATCCAACACAGTAGATCAATCAACAATTTTCATAATAGAGAACAAGATAGAGGAAATTAGGCTAGAATTGTGGAATACTATTCGGTTTTCATCACGTTTACATAAGGAAACCATTAGAATCCTAACTTCAGAGAAATGAAGTAACTGGAAGTATTGGTAAAACTTCAGTTTTTCAGCTTCGGAAGTAAGCGTTTGAAGGTGCAAAGATACATAATGGTAATCACAATGGAAAAGACATGACAGTAAGACAATAGCACGTGGGTTCAGACTAATTAAAAGGCAAATTAAAACTATTGTCAGGAAATATTTGCAAATGGAATCAGCTTTCGGGGGGTAGTAAAGACAAAAACTTTGGAAGTTTTGAAAAAAAGTGTTTTTAGATGTTAATTTGGACCAAATGATTTTGCTCATTCTTATCTGCCTACTGGCCTTTGTCTGTCATTTGTGATTTAATGAAAAAAGCTCAGTCCTGCAATTGTTTGGTTTGTCTCATTTAGTCAATTTGGTAATACAGTGATCTAAAGCAGTTCATTAGCAGAGATCTTAGTGTTAGAATTCTTTAAGGAAGTAACAAGCAATGTAGACAAAGGGGAACCAGTGTATGTGGTCTATTCGGATTTTCAGAAGGCCTTTGACAGGGTGCCGCACAGGATGCTGTGAAATAAGATAAGAGCCCATGGTGCCATGGACAGAGGATTGGCTGACTGGTAGAAAGCAGTGAGTGAAGATAAAGGGGTCTTTTTCAGAATGGCAGCCGGTAACTAGTGGAGTTTCACGGGAGTCAGTGTTAAGACCACAAATATTCACACTATCTAAGGTTTTAGAGTAGATTTGTAGCTCGGGTTGTGGATGTTGTGGTTTGGTTGGCTCGCCGAGCTGGTTCGTTGTTCCGCAGACGTTTCATTACCCTGCTGGGTAACATCATCAGTGCAGTCTCCGGTAAAGCGCTGCTGTGTTTTCCTGCCGTTATTTTAAACTCTGGAGTCCGTTGAGCTGGATTACCTCACTTCCGGTTTTCCTTCGCAGTGGAGTGTATATGGGTTCGAGCTCTGTGTGTTTGTTGATGGCTTTCTTCGTGGAGTACCAGGCTTCTAGGAGTTCCAGTGCTCGTCTCTGCTTTGCTCGTCCCAGGATCTTGGTGTTGTCCCAGTTGAATTAGTGGTTCTCCTTATCCACGTGGATAGAGATGAGTGAGTATTGGTCGTGCCTTTTTGCTACATTTGCTACAATTGGCTACAAAAAGACACGACCAATACTCACTCATCTCTATCCACATGGATAAGGAGAACCACTAATTCGACTGGGACAACACCAAGATCCTGGGACGAGCAAAGCAGAGACGAGCACGGGAATTCCTAGAAGCCTGGTACTCCACGAAGAAAGCCATCAACAAACACACAGAGTTCGACCCCATATACACTCCACTGCGAAGGAAAATCGGAAGTGGGGTAATCCAGCTCAACGGACTCCAGAGTTTAAATAACAGGTGGGAAAACACAACAGCACTTTATCGGAGGCTGCACTGATGATGTTGCCCAACAGGGTAATGAAATATCTGCAGAACAACGATCCAGCTCAGCGAGCCAACCAACCACAATACTCACATTATATATTAATGATTTGGATGAAGGAAATGAGGACATTGTTGCGAAGTCTATACAAAGGTAGTTGGAGGGACAGGTAGTTTTAGGAAGTAAGGAGGCTGCAGAAAGACTCGGACAGGCTAGGAGAATGGACGAAGAAGTGACAGGTGGAATACCACCTGGGAGAGTGTGCGGTCACTTTGGTAGGAAGCATATAGGCATAGAGTATTTTCTAAATGGGGAGAGGCTTTAGAGGAATACTGCTGGGCCCCTTGCCAAGATATTTGTAGCATTGACAGCCATTGGTGAGGCACCAGAAGTCTGAAGGTTGGCTAATGTGATGTTATTATTTAAGAAAGGCTGTAAGAAAAAGCCATGGAACTATAGATTGGTGAGCTTGACATCAGTGGTGGGTAAGTTGTTGAAGGGGATTTTGAGGGACCGGATTTACATGCATTTGGAAAGGCACGGGCTAATTAGGAATAGTCAACATGGCTTTATGTGTGCGATATTGTGTTGCACTAACATGGGATTTTTGAAGAGGTGACAAAGATGATTGATGAAGACAAAGCGGTAGATGTCTATGAGCACTTCAGCAAAGTGTTTGACAAGGTTCCACGCAGTAGATTTGCTAATAAGGTTAGATCACATGGGATCCAGGGGGAATTAGCCAATTGGATATAAAATTGGCTCAAAGGTAGGAGGCAGAGGGTGGTGGTAGAGGGTTGCTTATTGGACTGGAGGCCTGTGGCCAACAATGTGCTACAAGGCTCGGTGCTGGGTCCACTGCTTTTATATATCATTTATATAAGTGATTTGAATATGAATATAGGAGGCATAGTAAGTTTACAGATGCCATCAAAATAGGTGGGATGGTGCACAGTAAAGGAGATTATCTCACAGAGTACAATGGGACTTTGATCAGATGGACCAATTGGCCAAGCAATGGCAGATGGAATTTAATTTAGATAAATGTGAGGTATTGCGCTGTGGTAAGGCAAACCAAGGCAGGACTTAGCACAGTTAATGGTAGGGCCCTGAGGAATGTTTTTGAACAAAGAGACATGGGGGTGCACATGCGTAGTTCCTTGAAAGTGGAGTTGCATGTGGACACAATGGTGAAGAAGCCGTTTGGTACTCTTGCCTTCATTGGTCATAACATATAGGAGTTGGGACATCATGTTGTAGCTGTGCAGGACATTGGTGAGGCCACTTTTAAAATACTGTGTATAATTCTGGTTGCCTTTCTATAGGAAGGATGTTGTGAAACTTGAAAGGGTGCAGAAAAGATTTACAAGGATGTTGCCAGACCCGGAGGTTTTGAGTTATAAGGAGAGGCTGAATAGGCTGGGGCTTTTTTTCCCCTAGAGTGTCAGAGACTGAGGGGTGGCCTCATATGTGTTTACAAAATCATGAGGGGCATGGATAGATTGAATTGCCAACATCTTTCCCTGAGGGTAGGGGAGTTCAAAACTCAGGTGCATAGATTTAAGTTGAGAGGGGAAAGATTTGAAAAGGACCTGACTGGCAACTTTTTCACATGGAGAGTGGTGCATATGTGGAACGAGCTGTCAGAGGAAGTGGTGGAGGCAGGTGCAATTACAACATTTAAAAGGCATCTGGATGGGTATATAGAGATAATAGGAACTGCAGATGCTGGAGAATCTGAGATAACAAGATATAGAG